GATTCCTTGTATTTCTTTGTTTTGTCTAATTGCCATGGCTAGGATCTCCAGTACCATGTTGAATAACAGTGGGGAGAGTGGACATCCCTGTCTTGTTCCTGATCTTAGAGAAAAAGCTTTCAGCTTCTCGCTGTTCAGTATGATGTTGGCTGTGGGTTTTTCATATACGGCCTTTATTATGTTGAGGTGCTTGCCCTCTATACCCATTTTGTTGAGAGTTTTTGTCATTAATAGATGTTGAATTTTGTCGAATGCTTTTTCAGCGTCTATAGAGATGATCATGTGGTTTTTGTCTTTCTTTTTGTTTATGTGGTGGATGATATTGATGGATAAAACCTAAAACTAACAATGTAATGTAAGATTGATTCCTGAAGAAGTTGAGTTTAAGGATACTTTTTAAATGCAATCATTTCAGCCACAAAAGCCAAAGGATCATATTTAAGTGTGTACTAAAAATTAATATTGTAATACTCACTGCCACACCAAACAAGAGTGTTAAAGCCAAAATATCAGTATTATCAGTTACTTCTCTGCAATGCTTAAACAGAATTCAATTATTTCTTAGGAGAAAAATTTAGGAATAGATCTTCATAGACAAAGTTCACACATAACTGTTACACTGAAAAAAAAAACAGCTCAGTGTGAATTCAGATCATTCCATAAAAATAAGAAATTACATGGGTCTAAAACATTATGGTAAAGCTGTATTCAAGAGTTCCTATTTCTGTTGAAAATTTTAAAAGATTTACATGGTATCAATAATAAAATAGAAAAGGTATATTATGTTGTCCAAGGGTGAGTACAAGGGGTTAAGATTAATAGAAAGATGCTTTAAATCTATTCCAAAGAGTGATTAATCTAAGTATCGCCTTCATAAAACATGCTAAGGGAAAACAGCATAATCAATCAGAAGCAGCCTTAGAATCAGGGTGGGTAACCTAAGCCTCATCCTGGCTCTGCCATGCAAAGGACAGTGGTACCTTCGATGACAGGACTGCTCAGTGTGAGTGCAGGAGTCAAGCAGTAACTGTGGATGGAACAGAGAACTCTTCACACCTTGATGAACTGGATTAAAATCTCTAATCTCAAAACCTGAACTTCAGGGTGAATGAGAGGACATCACTAGGCAAACAGATTCTACAAGGCTTTACTTCGGCTCATACAATAGGAATAGGACCTGCACAGTAAACAAGAGATGAATATATTTATCATAACAGCACTTCTGGGCTGATTTAAGATGCTTGTTCTATGTTTTCATAGTTTTGTTAACATAATGATCACACCAAAGGAAACACCAAAATGGTTTTTGGGCCTCTTAATGTAAAGACTTCTTAAATTGGAGATACTATCTCTAACATCAAACCAATTAGATTATTTGAACTTTAGATAGAGTGTCCATATTATCCCCCATTTTTCCCTCACTACCCAAAGTAAATGCCAGCAATAAAACCATTCAGAAAAGCATTCACATGAACGCCTTTAATTTATAGTCACCATATGTCTACTTCAACACTGAGAATTAAACAAATAATCATGACATAAATTTTCATCATGCAAGGTATCTTCCTTATACTGTCTTTCAGGCTTTTAACTTCAGTTGCAAGGAAATTTATTTAATTGTCATTAGAGATCATTGAGGAATAAAAGCAAATGCTACTATTACAATCAAAATCATCAAGCTGAGCATCCACTCTGAGATGAAGAGTGAGGGACACAGTGTTGAGATCTGACAGATCCTCACTTTCAAGAATGTTCTAGCACTACTTGAAAGAGAATTTTTAGGAATATTAAGGTAGCACATAGTTAAATGGCAAAATGGGTGACATAGTATATTAAAAGAAAAAGGAACTCAATGCTTGGATATCAGCTAAAGTTTCAACAGGGTCTTCAGGAAAAATAATTTGGATGAATCTGTGTCTCCTGAGTGGAGGATCACTTGTTGAAGGTTCTGTCTCAAATTCACAATAATGCCTGGCAGAGCAGATATTGTGAACTTTGTTTTAAGTATGAATGTATGAATGAGTAAATGGGGAAAAACCTCATGCTAATGGAAAGGTTATATACATATAAACATGGTTTCCTCAGGAGTCAGTGAAGAGCCCCACCTTGACTGTTACTTAGAATACTTATTTTCAAGATTTGCAAAACAGAGCTAGGCAGGAAAATGAAGTACAACTTTGTATCTGCTCTGATAAATTGGCAGTCTCTGTAGGTTCCCTAAGTAGAGGAGTGACACCTATAAGTTTATTTAACATTTCGTTGGTGGATATAGAGCCATCAGGTAGGATGGGATTTGGAAAGAGAAGACTAGGAATACAGATTAAGTGTAGAACTGCACACAAAAGCATGTGTACCATTTTACCTTACCACTAGATTTAAATGTGTCCAGGGTGGATGGAATTAGAAGAGAGATGAAAGATACTGAAATAAGCCACTTACTGCTGTCCATGCATTTTTTTTGCACCGGACACATAGCCATCCATCACAGATCTCATGAGAAGGGACACCATAACAACCTATAAAATAATAGTATGATCCATGAATTAGGTCTTTTACATTTTGACAATATTACATATCTTAGCACTGAATAAATAAATTCAGAATAACTGCCTACCACACAATTTTTCATTCTCATTGCTTAGAACAAAACATAATCAAGGTGTCTCAAAGATACTTCTGGCTCCCATGCCTCACAGCTAATAGGATGTCAGTCCCAGGAAATGTTGAGAGTATGGGTCTTAACAGTTACTAATGCTCACAATAGCTATCAGAGAGAATACTGATGATAATTTTTCAATGGGCAGTAATAAAATTTCTAAACTGTCATACCTACAAATGTGTTTTACTCTTTCTAAACTGCCATACCTACAAATGTTTTACTCTTACAAAACACATTTCAAAATAAGTTGCAATTCATAGAGCAAAGTTTGGAGAAGTTTAAAAAAATACAATAAATAAACTTTGATATAATAGCTTTTAAATTAATGTAACTTAAGATGACGTTTTTCAAAACTATATTTAATTAGCTTTAATTTCAATGACAGGGAAAGAGGTGCACAATTCATGGTGTTAGTGATAAAGGGATGTTTTCAATTCTACTTGTCTATTCAGTACATGCCTGACTCAAAACAACTATGTTAAGAGATAGCTGATGATGCAAATATATGTAGCAATTATATGGCACCAACAAACATTTCATTCTGACTTCCTGAAAAGTGAGGGTTTTGAAAGATTTAAAGGATTATTTTTAAATACCAAATTTCTATAACATTTGAGTTGGGAGAAGAATATAAATAAGAGAAATGTAATTACCCAAAGGAAAGCCTATCATAATTAACCAAGACCATAAAATGTTTTAGTTGAAGCACATGTTTATGAAATATTATGGCTAAATTGCATAGCTAGTGCATTCAGGAGTCAAGATTAAATCCTAATTTTTGTGAAATGGTGCTTTGCCTCTTATAATGTAGGTTGTGTGTGTGTGTGTGTGTGTGTGTGTGTGTGTGTGTGTGTGTTACAAATTGATATAATAACAATAAGAAGGTTGCTGTAATTATATTTCAAGCAGATTATGTTCAACTCTCTTGGGGAAGCTGATAGCATCTAATTAATCAATAAATGATAGACAACAAGGTGACTTAAACCCTATGTAAGACAGGTGTTATTCTGGGGCAAATACAGAAGGTAATACCATATTGTAAACCATTCATATTACACTGACAGACCATACATAAGTTTGTTAATAGAGCATGTGATTTGGTAAGAGCTGGAATATTAAAATGCTTTAAAATAGTTGCAATATATAATAAATTTATTTTACACATTTTAGAAGATTTATACTCATGCCAATATAAAAATTTCCCACTTATCCAATTATGTAAAAATAGAAAATTGAGACAGGTCTGAAGCTGAACAATCTCAATCCTGGGGGAAGACAATTTTAACAACTGCTCTTCACTAGAAGACAATAAAGATCTATCTCTCTACCCTTACAAAGAAGAATAATTTAACTCAATAATTAAATCTAAGAATAATTCTCCAAAACACTAAAGGAATATTCATTTCTCTTTAAAAAATCACAAAGAAAAACAGTCATGAATCAGTATCAGAGGTTAAAATTAGGTTTTTATAAACTATATATTAAAATAAGTAAAAGTCCAGCATGTGAAAAGAACCCCACAATGACCCATGTCTGAACCCCAAATAAACAAACAAAACAGATTGCTCTCCACTGATACTGCATAAAACTGGAGAAAAGGGTGCTTATACTTATTTATACTTTCATTAGAAGAAATATGAGAAAGAATGACCTAGCCATTAAGAATGCCAATATTCAATGCAACAGCTTTGGTAGGTTACAAAGGTGTAAGAAATAAAGGCTATAAAGGCTATGTGAAGCACTGAAAAACCAGAAATTGATGAAAGAGAGATTCATTTACTTGCATGAACCCGTACACAGCACTTTGCACAGGAAATCAGAAGACTTGTTCCATCCTCTTCCAGGAAGACACTAGGTGGAGAATATTCTATATTTTCTTCACTATAAATAAAACACATCTCTGGAATGAGGGGCTTAGTCTTTCCTCCTGGAGTAACCACTTCCTCTGATTTTGTCTCCCATCTAGAATCATTTTCTTCATTGCTGCTATCTGGCTGAAAAACACAATATTCCCATGTGAGTGACAAACATGGAAAAGAGCTCATCATTGGTTCTGGTCACTCAAATCCACTAACTGTTCCACCCACTAACTTTCAGCTTCTCTTCTTCCTCCTACCCTCCTTGACACAACTAGAAGCTTTTTATCAATGTTCCTCCTCTGGCTCCTAACCAGAAGCTAAGCTGTAGGAACAAGAAAATATTCTGTATATCTGCTTGTATAAGAAAGCAATGAGCTACAAAAAACCATGTCCTTACATAAACAATCACAGAAAGCATCAGTTTTTCTAATTTTTTTTTCTTCCTCTTCATTTGCACAAGGTTAACTGATTTGGTTTCATTTACTGCAGAATCTTAACCTAGTCACACCTGAAGCGGTGTTTTTAAAGACCTTAGTTATAATCTGTGCAGCAGTATTTAGAGAGTTCAGGAAGGCTTTTGCCTTACTACAAAGTTTTTAAAATCAAGACAGCAAGATCAGGCAAGTATCAGTAAATAAGGGAATATAATGTACAAAACAAAACTGTCATCTCTCCCCAAAATATATGAAAAATGCGTAGTGTTTATTTCAAACTCAAATTAATGAACTATCTCATTATCTCCAGAGATCTCCCATTAATAACATCTTACAATTTTAGAGAATTATTTGTTCAATTATTGGAAAGTCTTTTTCAATTAGGGAAATATACAGGTAGATTATGATATAGAAATAGAAATTAATAAACAGGTTTATCCATAAAAAAATAGAAACTTAAAGACTAAAAGGAAAACAAAAATAATGTTTATCACTCACCAGAGCCACATTCAAAGACAAGTGACTAAACTACCTCCTCTATTTACAAAGATCTGAATATATGACATATCACATATTTTCATGCTACAAAATATCTTAACAGGAAAGCTTTTACTTTACATGGAATTCTAAGGAAGACGTGATCTCAAGTATTTCTGATTCAATAAGTAAATATATCACCCAGAACATAAGATTCACATCAACACACTTTATATAACATCTTAAAAAAGATCATATAATTTGACCCTTTCTAGATTCCTACAGATCATTTTGTGTTAGTGCTGGAGAATGTGGATCTCAGTGAGCTAAATTCTATCAATATAACATATGAAATGACACTGAAAACAGCATGTATAGATGACTGATGAGATGAACTGGACAATTCAGTTCACAGTGAGTCCTGAGCATTTTACCATGCTCCATGTGGGAAGATAGAGACATTTTGAATGTAGGTTCAGAACCGACTTATATTATACAGAGTGACGTTTTCAAACATAAAGCAGAGACTATGTTCTCCCTTTGCAAGCTTCTATTATCATTAAGCTTTATGTTTCATGGTGAAAGGGGTAGAAAGAAAGGTTAGAATTACCCCTTGACTGAAATAAACCAGGACCAACAAATAAACCAATCATTTACTAAAAAATGTAAAGCAGTCAGAGAAACGTCTCTGCAGCAGCACTTAGAAACTCTCTGCCCTTCTAGGATGGCCATTAGAGTATGTACGTATTAATGTCTTCCTGTACTGTGTATGCTCACCTTACAATTATTCACCTGTGTTTTTACAGTCACTCATAAAAGGGCAGCAGAGAAAGGCAACCTTGACAGTGGCTCGTCACTTCATTACCTTGTAGTACGGCATGAGGAGAGCACATATGGCACAATGTGGCTCCATTGTGGCCATGGCTGCATTATACTCTTGCTCAGCCACAAAATTTGGGGACTTTGTCTGCCAAAGGTGGACCAGAGGCTTCGCCCAAGACTCTGTTTCTTCTATTTCTTCCTCAATCAATGCAACCTCAGGCAACTCTTAAGAGAAAGGGCATGAAAACACAGTGAGCATGGGACCCAGGGAAAAACAAATCTAATTATAAAAGCAAACAAGCATTCCCAGGTATCTGTGATATTAATGTCAGACAGGAAACCGATTTTGCTTTCAAATGCACCCTGGGAGAAAAGAACAACAGGAGTTTCCTTTTCATCCTCCTCATCTTCAAGGACTATATCAGATCTGACCACCAGACAACCATCCTCCTTTCGACACCTTCCTCATTCCTGCCAGGAATAACTAAACTGATCCTTCCTTTCCACCTCACTACTTCCGGTTCCTACTGCTACCGTAACACTTCAAGGTAAAGAGCTTATATGTGTGAGTACATCTTCCAGGTAACAGAGCAACTCACTAGCCCAGTAACTGATTTCCCAGTATTTGTAGTCTCTCACCTAATACTGTACATGGCTCAATAAAATACTATTTATAGGATTTTATTTAGTTAACTTTTGGGTTCAAGAATTTATGACAAATAGCATTTACAGAGCACATTGTCATGTGTCAAGCAATATACTGTCATTACATGGATATCCAATACAATCTCTATGTTGAATCTTATTTGTTCAATATGATGTCCCCAGAGGGTCATATCTCTTAAGCATGTATATCTGTTAACATGAAAGGGGCAGAGATCTACTCCACAAAAATAGAATTCTACAACATTTTAAAGAAGGCCAGAAAAATACAGAAAGATGTAAGAGGTTAAGAGAGAAAAAATTTCTCATGCTTATAGCAAAGGACAGTGTGTCAGGGCAGGTGGCAGCAACCATGTCTCCATCCAGTACTTGATGTCTAGAGCTGTGACATTCGGAAATTCCTCACCTGCTGGCACAGTTTTATGAACAAATACCGTGGAGCATGGTCCTCAAGTCCCAAGCATGGGCATTCCTATTAACCAGTGTGCTCCAGCCCTTGCCTGGCTGACCTCCTACCTATTCCAGGAAAAGCAAAACAGATTTGCTCAAGTAGAAAAATAGCAAGGGCTGAGTGAGGCTGAAAATAATTCAAAAGACCTCAAATGCCAAGTGAAGTGAAAGGGAATGTTCCTGCTTCCATGTCAGTGGTAGTATTATTATTATTTTTTATTTTTATTATTTTTTAATCATCATCATCACTATTATTATTTTTTACAATGGAAGATGCATAATACTCAATAGGGTCAGCATATTAAAACAAAAGGTAAAAACCTGCTTATATTTGCAATGAAGTAATTAGATGTTAAACATGAACTGCTTCCACCTCACTTTCCCTAAAATATACAATAGAAGACTTCCTATTAAGACTAAGATTTGACAACTAGAAGATTATAGAGTGAAAAGTCAACCAGGAACTTGAAATACCAGTAAGTCCTAACTCACAGGCTACTACCTCCCACATACATTCTAAAAGTAGGATCTAAACAAGAAGAAATCCCTAGGTTTGAATAGCTGTTACAACCTATAGACACACAATAAATTTATCACATTACTTGCTTTATTATAAAAGATTAAAACATACAAGATAGATAATGCTCTTCTCCCTTCCATTGGTCCTAAATTTATGTGAAGAGTTCTCAAAATATTTTTAGGGATGGAAGAAATACTACTGAATTCCTAAGAGCCTTGTAATAATGAAAAAGAGGTAAAGGACAATTCCTGAAAATTGAGAAATTAGTAGAGTGTGGGCAAGACCTTTAGCAACACTTGACCTCGGATATCCTGATAACTTGAGCATGACCTCAAACTTTCTCAACACAGATCTGGCAGAGGACCTTGCCCTATATCTGTCCTTCCCTAAAGATAAGGTCATGCTCTGACCCAAAGAGCATTTGTTTTCTGTCTGTATGCTCTCGGGGCCACAGGACACAGTGAACAACATAACTATGTAATACTGTAAATTAAAATTAGCATGGCAGCAATACTGAGCCATCAGACCGGATCTAGCTTTAAGTTAATCCTTTGATTTGGAGGGGCTATGGCTTTAGGTAAGACAGATTCTCACATGGTGAGAATTCCTTTCTCACCTACTTCAAGGTTGTTTTATTTTAATTTTAATATGAAAATGAAAGAGCAAATGTAAAACTTTTTAAACTCTGAGGTGACAAAGTTCTTTGAAAACCCTAAAGTGATATATAAACATATATATTACTATGTAAAATCCATGCAATTCCCTTATTTTCATTTGATCTGTTTGTCAATTCAATGCATCAATGTTTTATGTGAGGGGAAGAGACTGCACTTAATTATAAGTAATTCGGATTTTAATTTAGCTTTGAAAGTCAAAAATACTGGCACATTCTTGAAAGTAAAGCTTTAAAAGTCAAAAACATTGGCCCATTCTTGCATCTTCCTGAAATTTCCTCATCAAATTATTCATCCCGCCTCTTTCTCCAAGAACTCTTGCTTACCCATGGCATTGTTAAGCATGGTCTAACTCTGGCTATTGCCTTTCCCAGATTTATGATATTCATACAACCACAAATCTCAATTCCTTAGGGAACCAAGATTCCCTAAGGGGGATCTCTTCAGGATATCTAGCTACTCTCATCATCACATAATTCCAAATGAAAGCTCTCCCTTTCAGCTTCTAAACACATTCCTCTATTACTGTCCCTTGTTTCTTTTAAGTATACCTTCATCTACCCACTTTTTAAAAAACTATTTTCTATCTTCCAATATACAAAAGAGGGAAAATGCTTTTCCATTGTACCTTTTAAATGTTTTGATCATTTGGTATCACTATGCCTACAGAGTTCCTCTCTTCCTTTCTGGAACTATACTTGACTAATGAACTTGTAAAGGTTTCAGTGTAATCTCATTGGTATATGATTACCTCAAAATATGTATTTTGAACATTCTATGCAATGAAAATAGCCCATACTGTTTTATATTTTTATATTTTTAAAATATCAAATTAGTTCTCACAATACCCTCATAATAGAAGAGGACAGGGATAAAGATATTAAACATACAAAGACATGGACACTGTAGGCTTAATGAATACCAATATTCTTATTACTATAATTTTAAGTGTTTTTATGCCAGCATACCAACAATCTGGAGATCATGCACAGCTCTGAGTCTCACCATGAAAGCCACAGTTTGCTGTAGCATCAGGAGAGAGTGAGGCAAGGGAAAGATCCCTTAGTATAAGTTAGGGAACTCTGAAAATGTTACCAACATAGAACTCCCTCCTTTCCCACTGTATTCTCAACAAAAACAAAAGAAGAGCTAATAGTATAACAGCAGTTCTCAAAGCAAGGTCTGTGGACTTCAGGAGACACACAACACATTTTCACAGGGTCTGTCTGGACAAAAATACTTTCATAATAAAGCAAAGCTATTATTTGTCTGTGTTACCTTGTTGACATTTTAATGGTGATACAAGAGCAGTGGAGGTACCTTGGTAGAACTGTTGGTACCTTAGCTTGAATCAAGTCAGGGGCACCAATGCCATCATTATATTCTTGACTACCTAACATTTACAGTGTGGGGGTGGGAGGGGAAGGGGGGGTGGGAGGGGAGGTGCATTCCACTTAGCAATGCCTTGATGAAGAAAAAAAAAAGTACCAAGTTTATTAAATTTGAAAACTTTATAAAATGGGAAGTATGCATGAAGTACTTCTGCTGCACACTGAAGTTCAATAGTTGTCTTGAAAGCATATGTGCAATTAGTTGAATCACAAGTTCAGTGAACTGCCTTCTTCATGGAATATCATTTTTACTTAAAAGAATGATTAACAGACAAATTATGGTTATTCAGACTTGAATGTCTGGCAGGAATTTCCTAGCCAATGAACAACGCCTATCATTTTAATAAGAAACTAGTGAGAGAATTTGTTGACAATGGTAAATGTAACCTTGTGAGTCTAAAAAAATTGGAATTTTGGAGAACTTCTACCTACTATTATAAGCTTGGCAGCTTTCCAATATTTAAAGCTGTTTCTGATGAGACTGATAGTGATAATATCAAATGTAATTTTTAAATTTTACATAGACTTGTATAACTCAGATCTTTGTTTACCAACACATGATGACACAAAATCATGCATTCTTAAAAGAGCCACTCAAAATACAAAATAGACTGATGCACCTTTAGCTTAACACCCTACAAAAAGCTCACTGACGTAATTTCAGACTCCATGTTGCAATGACCTTTAATAAACTACCATTTGTCAAGTTTGATGTTGTGTAAAAAGAATACCCATAACTATCTGAAAAAGCTATTAAAATACTGCACCTCTTCCAACCACATATCTGTGCAAAGCCAGACTTCGTGCTTATACTTCAACCAGAACAACATGATTAAATGCAAAAGCAGATAAAGTCTAATTATTTTTATTAAATCGAATATTAAAAACTTCCACAAAAACTGTAAAACAGTATCACCCCTCTGTTTATATGATATGGAGAAACTGTTAATTTTTATGAAAATAAATGTAACTGTTCACATATTTATTACTGCTTTTAAATGAATTCATGCACTTAAAATTTTGCTTGTTTTAACTTTAGTGTATAAATATCAATAAGGTAAACCCACGGAAAGGGAAAGAAAGGGATGAGATGAAATGAAATGAAACCTCTATGGGGTCTTCAAAACACTGAAGAGCGTAAGGGGTCCTGACAGCAAAAAGGCTGAGAATCATTGACACACATTATATGTATGCCATTTTCAGGCAAAATGTTAGTTCCACAGAGTCAAAACTGAATGATACAGCCCTAATAATACTGGTGTAGATTGCAGTCTCACAACCAGGCAAGAATTTTATATAAACTCCTTTCCTCAGTCAACATTATGGTACTTAACCACAAAGAAAACAAGTCAACACTGCAGGAAGGTCTCCCTGCCTCTTAGTTCCTTCACTAAGGTCTGCAACATTTGCCAGATATGGTAGAAAAAAAACATTCTATGCCAAAGCACTTCATTTTCTTTTTTCTTGGTGAGCTCTGGCCTTCACGGAGGAAATCTAGACTCCCAGACTGTTACATTGACAAAAACA